TTAAAAACCTCCCTAAAATAACTAAAAAACAATCAGAAAACTAAATCCAATAATCACTTTCAAGCAAACCAAATCCACATACTTTGATTTTGATCTCTGAAAATAATCTACGAAACTTCGACTTTTTCACATCTGCATCCTTTGGAGTTGATGCATTAATAGTGATTTTTTTTCAAAATATGTTTTTTCTTGTGATGTTTGACATGTCCCATACTTGAAATTTTTGGTGAATTAGTTATTGTGTTTCATTGACACCATAGTCTCTAGGTTTTCTTCTAGCTTCATAAGGAATCATAGTAATCATAGATCCAAAGAATCCTTTTCCATTGTTTCTGTTTGCACCTCACCGGTTTGTGTTATTGTCTATTTTAAATTTATGCTCTTTTTCAAGACTGAAAGGTGCATTTTGAAATATTACTATTATTGCTTTCAAGAACTTGTTCCTCAGCTTACTTTGTTTTTATTTCTCCATAGTAAATTCCATTATTACTGTAGAAGCATACCTTTTGAATTCTTCGAATGAGAATGGAAAGATTCTTTGCATTCTCACCATAAATTTCTCTTTTTGTTTGTCTTGGTTTGCATGTGAATATGATCTGTTCTACAAAATGTCTCATACGAATGAAGTTTTTGTTAGTGTGTAATGCACTTGGGTGAGAATAGAATGAGAGATAGGGAGATAAAGAGAATGAAAAGTAATTGTATTATTGTTTTAAAAACTAAATTACACTATGTATATATACAAGTAGGTTATTTGCACTTTAAATAACTAATATAATAAACTAACTTACTTGTTTACTAAGTAACTAACTAACTTGAATTATATCACAATATACTCATTTATAATCCAAGTTGTCGAATATAAGCTAATTATAATCAATTTGAAATATTTCTAATATCTTTCTCAAAATCAAGAATTTATCGATCTTCAATTCTTTAATAAAAATGTCGATCAACTGTGCATCACTCGAGCAATGTATCACTTCAAGTTCACCTTGTTTACCCTCTCCTTCAAAAAATGAAACCTAGCCTCAATGGGCTTACTCCTTCCATGTAGAACAAGATTCTTTGTAAGATTATGGTTGACTTGTTGTCGATCTGCAACACCATAGCTTCTTTATTTCGACATTCATCTCATTCAGCACATATCTGATCTAGGTTGCTTGACAAACAACATATGATCCTGCTATATACTCAACCTCACACGATGATAATACCACTGTAAGTTACTTTCTTGAGCACCATGAGATTGATGCATCAAATACTTGAAAAAATAATCAGTTGCGCTTCTTTATTCTTTCTTATCTCCATACCAATCAACATCTGAATAACAATTAATCATAGCTTCTTTGCTTTCAAAATCTTGTTTGAATCTCGTGGAAATAAGATTCCACAGTTTATTGATCGTTTTAAATATCTCAAAATTCTTCTTACAACCTTTAAATATGACACTTTTGATTCATCCATATATTTATTTATTAATCTAACTGAGAAATCTATATCAAATCTTATGTTACACCTTATATCTAATAAACCCTAAGTGAAATACCAAAATATACGCGGGGGTACATATACAAAACATCACCATACCATAAATGAAAAAACAAAAGATGTTATATTTCTTAGAAGGAATTAAAACAAGTATATGTGGCAATATAATATAATAGGAGAAGAAGACAGAATTTCATTCACTCAAAGTCATTTGTAGGGACAATGTGAGTAAATCATGTCATGTCATAAATAATGAATAAAAATATGAAAATAATGGAAAAGAAGAAAACGAAAGAAAAAGTCATATGCATCAATACCCCACCTCCAATTGCAAAATGCACATCAATCTATTTTCATTGGTCAACCTCCATATCCTTTCCCACACCCCATTCCTTGTTTGTCTCACACACACACAAAATATAGATAGTGGGATTGTCTGCATGAGTAGGTTCACACATTTTGATTCAATAGATAATTCCAACCGTTGATTTAAATCCGATGATCCAAATTTTACATCAATGATTTAATATATATGATCTTAGCCATTGATTTAAGATCACACAATCAAAATGTATTGAAAATCCAAATTAAAAAAATATTTTTATTTTAAAATGTAAAAGTAAGGAAATTTATTTTGACTTTAAAATATACTAATGGAAATAGAATAAAATTTATATATAAATAGAAAGCAGTCCGACAAGCGTCGCTATTTTTTTTAATGACAAAATTAATTATCTCAAAAAGTGTATTAATAAATCTAAGAGATATAAAATTGTTATTTATAAGTTTTTAAATTTTATGTAAAAGGTTAAGGGTGACAAAACGGGTTTAATCCGTTAGGTATGTCTGTTTTATCCGCACTTTAGTGTGGGGTGGACTAAAAATTTGGGTCCTCACCCTCTAACGTGACCGTTCCGTCCGCCACGTTTTTTTGACGGATTTTTGCGGGCATGATTATTAGCATAAAATTTTACATTTTTAGGCCTAAAAGATGCATTGTCCGCGAGCTTTCCATGCCCCGCACTCACTTTTTTGCAGGACGAAGCTAGATTTTAGACCCTCATCCTCAATTATGTCCGTCACGCCCCGCCTTATTTTTTTGCGGGCTTTTGCGGAACGGACCTAAACGGAACGGACATGCCCGTTTGTCATCCCTATAAAAGATCAATTACTTTTAGTGTTAGAAAACTAAAAATATTAAAGACAGATAATTTAAAAATATATTAATTGTCGAAACACGTTTTCTCATGTTTAATATTTAACACTTTAACAATTTTTAAAGCTCCCTGTTCCACAATAAAACCATCAATTTTGAGAGGAGTTAGGAATCATTAATATATTAATGATTTTTCAATAAAAATGTTTTATTTTATTCATCATTAAATGAACAAAATATTACTTTTGTATAAGAGTGGTAAAATGGGTTGGGTCCATCGAGTTGACACGTTTAATCTGTTATTTTTGACGGGTTGAACTGAGGTTTTCGGTTTAGTATTTTAATTGGTCCGTCCCATCTAACTTGTTTACAAAAACGGGCCGAAGCGGGGCGTGACAGATTTTTCCCGCAGATTTTCTGTTAAAATTTTTAATATTTTTATTTAGAATTAAAACAACTTTAACTATAAAAACAACACTTTTCTCTTAGGATTATATTATAAATTATTATACAGATAAATTGAATTATAATTGTAACGTTCTTTCTATAACTTTTTAATACACACGTTGATTGAAAATAGTTGAAATAAAAAAACAAATGTATGACATGCATAATTATTAAGTTTTCAATATATTATCTCAGATATTTTCTTTAGAAATAGATGCTGATTTTAAGAAAATAAAGGATTTGATTAGTGTATACATGTGACAAATTTAAGATTTAACTATTAAAGAATCGATTAATATAAGAGTTTATATAACGTAAACAGTTAGAAAGTTCGGTGTTGATATTTTACGCATTATTATTTTATGAACTGTGATATTTTATGCAATGTTATTGTTATCATTGTTAGTTTTGTGTAAATTCTAAATTGAATTCTTTTAGTAGTTAGTTTTTAAATAGGATTATGATGAAATATATTGTTTATTTATTTATTTATTTTGAATTTTTTATTATGTTTGAGTTTATTTTATTTCTTTGTTGTAATTGGTCTTTATTTATTTTATTTTTTGAATTATTTGGACTTAAGACATCTTGAAGTTTTATTATGCGTTGTTAAAAAATTTTCTTTGTCGACCTCTTTAATAATAATTATTTTTAAAAAAAATTATATACTAAATTAAATTGTAAAATAAAAAAATAAAAATTTGGTGAGCCGACCCGCCAACTCTTTAATAAACGGGACGGACATGACTTTTATGTGCAGAAGAATGACAATATCTTTTAAAAACTCATACACAATGTTTGTAAAATTTAAAATTTGTAAAATTTAAAATTTGACTTTGATATAAGAGAAATATTTGCATAAAAACAAACATGATTTTTTATTTTTAGAAATAATCAATAAAAAAGAAAAAAAACTTAAAATTAATTTAAAATTAATTTCAGTTTTAATTAAAACCATGAAGGGAATGTGATAATAAATATTATATTAGTATTTTTTTAAATATTTATTTTGAGATATAAAAAAAAATAGAAAGAAATATTTACTATGAGATGGAGGGAGTAGTATAACTACTTTTCTTATCTCATTCTAAGGGAGTAGTAGTATTTATATATTCATCTCCAAGACCTCAAATTACACACAACACAAGGACTCATTCACACTTTACACAAGTTCCAAAACACTCACTTCAAGATATTTTCAATAACACTTGACTCTGTCTTTTTTTTCCCTTTCATTTTCTTACTATTACCTCATCCCAGAAACTTGGAATAAGAAACAAACAAAGTGCTATATTTCACTCTGATTCTCACTCTGCAAGCTAACTCAACTTTCCTTAACACAGGTAAAACCATAACTACTTTATATATCTATCTATGTTTGTTTTTATTCAAAGTTTGTTTTCTTTTCCATCTTTGGTTCTGTAACTTTTGTTTTGAGATTCTCTGACATGGTTCCTAGAATTACGGTGGAAGTGTTTCCAGGTGGAACAACAGAGAAATAAAGTTGGTGGCTTTACTGAAATCTAATCAATTTTAACACTACTCTTTAATTGTTTTTGATAGTTTTCAAGTTTTGGAGTTTTCTCCGTGTTTGAGTATTTCACAAGAAATCTTCAATTTGGAGCCTGAACTTCTGTTCTGTTTTTCTTTGTGCTCTTTGATTCTCAGTTCTACTTTTGTTATTATATGTAGAAAGAAGGATAAGGTTTGAACTATGAAACCAAAGATATGTATTGTTATATCTTTTTAAACACAATGTATGTGAGCTTATTCTTAAGTGCTTATTTTGATAAACACTTGTGATGTAAGCTGTAAATAAGTTGTTTATCCAAACATACCTTGATATTCTTGAAAATTTACTTTTTTTTATTTTGTGATTTTCTAGGTTCCTATAGACAGTGATATCATGGAATCTCCACAATCTGTTGTGTCACCATTCAAGATCTCTGTCATGGAAGATGGTGAGAAGTATAAATCTGATCTTTTCACAAAAACCTCAAGTCCTTTGTCTAAGGACATTGAAGTCAATAGAAAAGAAGCTCTTGCATTGCCTAATCACGACGAATTCGTTGGAGTAGTTGATGTTTACATACTTCAAGCTAGGGACATTCATAACATCTGCATATACCAGAAACAAGATGTTTATGCTAAGATTTGTTTAACTAGTGATCCCGAGAATTCGGTCTCTACCAAAATCATCAACGGAGGAGGAAGGAACCCCGTGTTTAATGACAATCTTCGTCTAAGCGTTAGGACGGTCGAGTCTTGTCTCAAATGTGAGATTTGGATGCTTAGCAGGGTGAAGAATTATCTCGAAGACCAGTTACTTGGTTTTGCTTTAGTACCTTTGTGTGAAGTTTTGATGGAAGACGGAAAACTAGAGAAAGAGTTCTCTCTTTCTTCGACCGATCTATTCCATTCACCCGCAGGTTTTGTTCAATTATCTCTATCTTACGATGGCGTTTCGCCTGACGTTATGGTGATTTCTTCAAGGCCTAATATTGAACTGGACAAAAACGGAACCGATAAAGACTCTGAAACACGCGAGTCACTCTGGAGAGATTTAGATAAAATCGAGTTCCCGGATCCGAAAATTGCAAACGAAGACCATTTAATGGTTTCAGAATACTTTGGTACTGATAGCTTGGCCACTACTGATAGTGAAAGTCTGGGTTCAGAAAGAGGTGTTCAGTTTGTGGAAAGCTTATCAGCATCTAGTTTTGAATCTATTCAACCACCTAGCCATGTATCCACGAATGGAGTTTCCTCTCTTTCACCGTCTGCAAGCTCAAACGAGCAAGAGATACGCGTTGATGTGGACGACAGTAAGCGTGATTCATCATTCCAGAAACCTGTTGCGAATGTGAATATTGAGCCAGAACCAAAGATGGTTCAGCAGGATATAGTAGACATGTACATGAAAAGTATGCAGCAATTTACCGAGTCATTAGCGAAAATGAAGCTTCCTATGGACTTTGAAAATGGACCAACTAGTTCAGGAAACTCGAGCTCCGAACAGAAACTACAATCACCCAAGAGTACTAACTCGCGCGTCTTTTACGGTAGCAGTGCTTTCTTCTGAGTTTTTTTTTGTTAAGGTGTCTTAGTTTTTAGAACAGTAAATGAAATGCAATAATGTAGTATGATATGATCATGATCTAATGTGGTCAATATCTTAACTTTATGTTGTTATGGACATGGTCCTATCTTAACTACTATATGAACTTTTGTTCTGTCTTAACAATCTTGTGTTTCTTTTTGTTTTGAATGTTAATAATTGAGATATCAAATTTTATCTACCAAAAAAGTTCTTGTTGTTTATGATATGATTCTAAGTGATAAAGTGGTCCCAAATTCATTTGGAGAGTGTCCATGTTGGTTGCACCATTCATTTTTTAATCTATGGTTTTGCTTTTTATCATAACTCGCTTACTATAGAGTATTCTATTAAAAGTATTCTATAGAGTGTCCCAAATTTATATTAAGTTTTATATATAAATTATATTTTTTAGTATGAATGAAAAAAGTATTTTTATAATAATATAAAAAAAACAAAATAGCAGGCCAGTCCGCCATTAAACCGTAGCAGTTTGTAAGAAGAAAGAGTAAACATGCAAAATAAAATTGTTGAAGTAAGATCAAATTTTGTTTCTTAATTTGGTTTAGACAATAGTTGTGATATGCACGCCGAGGTCATAACTAAATATTCAGAAGGCTTTTTCTACATCACCTTCACAAAAAATGGATAAATTAACTATTATGAAGTGCAACAACTTATAAGTTGACACCTATAATGCAGTATCTCTATTATAATTAATAATGACATGCATTATTTTATAGATCGTGATAAATATTTTTTTAAAAATTTTTATATTGGATTCTATTACATTTATCATTTATAATATTATTTTTTTGTATATTATCTTTTTTAAATTATAATTTTTTTAAATCAAGGCCGCCCTGAAATCATGTTCTAATTTCTAAAATATGATTCTTCATAAAAATAATATTTTTTTTAATATATTAAAAGTTAAATTACAGTTTTAATTCATTTATTTTGTCCGACATCAGTCCCTTTATTTTTTTTAAACAATTCTGTTAAAAAGCATTGAGGTGTACTTTTGTCTTATTACGTGGCATTAAAATAATTGTCTTGTCATATTTAAATAATTAATAAATTAAAAACTTAAATAACAAGAAAACTCAATATATAAAATTAAAGGAATCGGAGAAAAACCTAAAAACGATTACGTTCTTCCATAGTTGTCTTCTTCTATGACTCTTCAAACTGAAATCTAATATTTCTGCCAACCGTAAATCATGTTTTCTCTCCGTAAATCACTCTTTCCAACTCTAATGGATTCTGAATATATGCAAATATCAAGTGTTTCTTCTCATTCTAGGAGGAGAAGGATGCAATGTTATTGTGGGTTGAGTTCATCACTTGCAATTCCATGGACATCTCAGAATCCAGGTCGAAGGTTTTATGTTTGTGGGTTATACAAGGTACAAATAAATCCCTAATGCAGCTTGGAACCAAGAAGCTACCCTTTAACCATACTAGAGTTCGATCCAATTTCTCACAATCTCCATCTTGGAACAAACTCTATAACATCATGGAACAAACTAGTTTATTCATGCAGCTTTATCAACTGCATACAATGGAAAAACTTGAAACCTGGAAATGTCTTGGTGATCATATCAGCAACATTGTGATTTGTCGAAACCATCAGGATTTGGAGTTCTTCATGCTCGATTACCCTTCTTTTCATATAAATCTTCTTTGTATCTTGGATTAAAAAGATGTGAACAAAAACTTCCTTCAAAGCAAATCCAACTAAATCTTCTTTGACTAAATCCAATCCAACTCTTTTAATTAGTTTATATCATCCATGTTCATGATTTAATACAATATTTTCCAAATTGATTTGGATTAACAACCTTCTTCCAAAAGTTAACTTCTACATCTTTTGAAGAATTTAACACCACAACAAATCTAATGAAAATCTAAAGATAATCAGAACTCAAACCTTATGCCAAGATGTCACACAACATGTGCTAAACATCTTGCTCATCAAGTTCCTTACAACCAAATCTTTCTGGCAAGCACTTTAGCAGGAACTTGGACTGAATAAATCTCTTAGAACCAAACAAAAAACCGCACAAATTTTTTCACAAAATATATCTAATAGATTGAGGATAGATGTTGGAACACATGCTGGAGCATCTAGTTTTACATGTTTCCTCTGCACAAAATACATCTTGTACATATGTTATTTTACCTAATGTAGTCAATCAAAAGGAATAACAACATTGATTTTGGAACTTCAAAGACTCGGGTGATAGAGATAGAATATAGAAACAAACTAGATTCTATTTAAGTTCAGGTGGATAATCATGATGTTATGCAAAATGAGGATGATGAGCCTAATCATTATAGCTAAGAATCAGTTTTATCATGCACAGATCCATGTCATGTATTATTTTATACGGGAAGTCATAGAGGAATGTAATATTTCTCTAACAGTTAATAATGAAGATACATACTAACGAGAATCATGCGTACACGTTAACAAAGGTTGTGTTAAGAAGAAAGTTACAATATTTCTTGGAAAAACTAAATATTACTTCATGTTAGGTATTACATGAATAAATAAATGAAACTACATTTGGTTTTACCCTGATCATAGGGTACATATGCAATCATTGTCATAAATTATTTTACCCCGATCAATGGGTATGTAGGAAATCATTTAGAATCCTCTCACAGTTATCTCTTCCTCTTTGCCAATTCCCTTCATCATATTTAAGTTTACTTATAAGTTTTGTTTTCCTCCTTTGATCCACTTTTCCATGAAAAAACTTTGTGTTTCGATTACCATCATATAACCAAATCGCTCTATTATGCTATCTCCACGAGACTTTTATAGTTCTCAGTAGGATATTCCTTGGGTTCTCAAGAGCTTTGTAAGATTTAATTTCCTTCTTTTTTAACAACCATCTCTCATCTTCCTCAAGCAATTCTTCACGCCTCCTTATCTCAGCTTTAACTGTGGCACTTTTATACTCTTTGAAAGCTTCTCTCAGGTTTGACATTAAGCTCAACTTCCTATAACCTATCAGATCATTAGAATCCCATATGCTACACATCATTTCTTCATATTTGTCATCCTTGACCCAAGCATCTTTAAATCGAAAGAGGTGTTGTTTAATCTTTCTAACATCCTCCTGATTTTTCTCCAATTCTATTCTCAGAGCCGCATGATCTGATCCATATGAATGAAGGTGGGACACCTTGATAGGATGAAATATCAAGATCCTATAAGATGTTGCAAATGCTCTATCAAGACGAAATTGGATGTTGTTGGCTTCCCATCTTCCATTGGACCATGTGAAAGGGTACCCCTAAAACCCAAGATCCTGTAAGCCACATGTCAGGTCTGTGATTTTATGGTTGGCCGCAATTTTGGTAAAACAAATAGTTGATACCATTTCTATCAACATGTTTTATTTTAGAAGAACATGTATTGCAGCCTATTATTGAGCAAGATGTCATAACATCTTGACCAACTGGTACAACAGGTTTTGCAGTTACTTATTTGACAAATATTCTATCAGATGTTGCAACATGTTGCAACATGTTGCAACATGTTGCAACAAAATATCATATCAGTACAGTTGAATTTTTATCCTTGAAGATTTGATTGAATAATATGAGATTCTGGAGGTTTCTAGTTCTCATAACAGACGTAACCAATCAAGGATTGTTAGGAATAGTTGCAGATTTGATTTATTTCATAAAAAGGATCTTTGAGACTTTTTAAGAAATATTTGAAAGATTTGTTTTTGTTTATATTTTCGTTGAGAATATTCTACATGGATTTAGAGCTGAAGACTATATCTGATTGAAGAGTTCAAGCCCAACTGTAGGAGTCTATATAAGGATTCGTCCAAGACCTAGTTTATAAGCATAGTTTTTATTGTAAAACCTGTTAGAACAAGATTAGTTCTGATCATATCTCAGAGTTTTGATGACAAAAATAAATTATATTTTATATATTTGATACTCTGATGAACATATTTAATTGTTTCAGATAATGTTCTGACAGAAGCATCTTGATGTGCTGAGCTGAAAATAAATGAAGAAGTTCTTTGATGAAAGAACTATTTGTTTTAGCGCAAGTGCTGATGCTGATACTGACTCTGGTAAGATAATTATTTAATCTTCTAACGCTTAGCAGGATTCCTTGATCAGAAGTACTTTGAAAGCAAGTGTTGTTCAGAAGATATTTTAAAGCAAGTGTTGTTCATAAGATATTTGAAAGTAAGTGTTGTTCAGAAGATATTTGAAAGCAAGCGCTGATCAGAAGTACTTAGCAAGCAAAGCATTGTTTAGAAGATAAGCAAGCATGTTCTGAATTCAAGACGTGAAGCAAGTTCTGAAAGAATGCAAAAGCTAAAGAAGTCTTGTCACATATGGTACCTGTATCTCACTCCATATTTTATCTTTAGCGTCGTCCAACACTCTTGCTCTCCAATCTTCACATGTAATTGGAATTTCTCTCCTTACCATCGAACCGAGATAACTCGTCAACATTGAACCGTTAGGCTCAATTAGTTGGCCTTATTGACTCTAATGCACATCATACTTTATGCCTTGATCTCTATCTCTAATGATTCTCTTCATTATTGTTATTCCTCGTCTATATTACATTTCTGTTTTATTAACGGTCTTATCTCCATCATGCCCAGAATCATCATGTGGGTGATCCTCGTTAGTAGCCATCTAACCTGTAATAAACATAGACATAAACATAAACATAAACATAAACCCAATATAAAATTCCATAGTCATTTAAATATATATAAAATGACAATGCCAAAAATTAACATAAACATAAACTTAAACGTAAACCCAAACATAAACATAAACATTTTAATATGCTACCTCTTTCACTAACATCTCTTTCTTTTCTTGGTTGGAACATGAATTACTTGTTTATTAACAATGCAAACAAATGGATTTATCCAAATTCCCTCATTATGATCATTTCTGATATATGATTCATCCGCTATAATATT